TATTGCGCATACCACAAACTCTAGAATAAAAAACATTCGGCAAATAGCTAACGATTGTTCTTCGTGTCAAAAAAGAACATATATAGTACAACCTCCAAATTCTACATCTCACATACGGCACATATCTGCATTGATCAGCACCTGGACTTTTATGTCAAGCAAGCTTAGACCAACTTCTATTCATAGGTAATTTCTATAGATGGCTGTATCCTACATGTAGTGTGTATTTTTGGAAGCCCGACACCTTCCAGTGAACCAGTTAGTGATAACCCTTAGATCAGAAAAAATGCTGAGGCTTTCAACCTACAGCGACTTCTTTCGTCCAATGCACTGGAGACGCCGCCTGCCCGAACCACACCAAGACCACCTACCTCTGCAGCAGCTACCCAGAGTGCAGCACCTACGGGAGGAAGCAGTGGTTCCACAGGCCGGTTTTCTTTTGGGGGCCGTCCATTGTATGACATGACAAATCATTGTTCAGCCGACAATGAGATCTTGGATTGGGACCATTTCCAAATAATAACTAAGGGGTCGTCACTCTAGCCCTGGCAGGGCCGGACATGCATCATGCTCTCCCTGGCCGCGTTGCATCTGACGATTCATCTGGAGATGCTCCAGGTCATGGAGACGGGTCAAAGAAACCCAAGAAGAATGCGAAAACTTTGGACACCAAACCCAAGAAGAAATCCAAGAAAGCTGAACAACCCAAAGATGCTGATCATGACCCAATCCAGGATCATGATGATGACGATGACAATGAAGATGATTTGCTAGATTCCGATGAATGTGAAGAGAATACTGAAGCAGGCGCCAAGGCCCCCCGAAAGAGGCCTGCAAGCAAAGGAAGCCGAGCCACCAAGAAGCCTGCGTCCAGGGGCAAGAAACGTGATGATCATCAGGACTAAAGATTTGTGCATTGCGTAGGGACATGTGGCAACTCACATTATCCCACATTATGTTGCATCATTTTTTCAACTATAGTGACGTTGACAATGGGTGATTTGGGTATTTCCAATCTGTTTGATCATCATATGCAAGATGTCTCTATAGGCACAAAGTCAACAATAGTGCAGGATGAAGAGGGCCATGAATCTCCAAAGCCCTTCGAGTATGCCATCGAGAAGAAGGACTTCTACAATGAGTTCTGCCCTTAGGGTGTTGCTCCTACTTATCGGTCTACTTATATATCATGAAATATTGGTTACTTATCATGAAATATCGATCTGCACACATGCCCTCTTCCAAGGACTGTGGAATCCAGCCCTCCTGCAAGCTACCACCCAGACAACCAATTGGGATTGGAGGATTCCTACCAAGATGCCCTTTGACAAAACATTCATTCAGCCCTGGGTTTTATTTTTCTGTCCTGACTGCAAACTGCCCTCAGGCTCCTGGCCTTGTGAGTGATGGAGACAGCTTTGGTGCGCACATGGATCCGGCAGTGGCAGACGCTGTCCATGACTTTAGTTTGAAGATTGCATATCGACCCTGATCATTTCGATTGCCCACTACTTGTTTTTGGCTAATTGCTCTCTAGGCTTTCCAGCATTTACATTTGACCAAGCAGTCCAACCATGGGTCAGAAATCATAACCGAGGACACACTCATCGACCCAGAATCACCAAAGGATGTTGCTGATATGGCTGATGGTCGTGCAGTAGCTGCCACGGTTTCTGGGCGATGTGAAAAAGTAAGAGTCTATTTACACCATGGTCTCAGAAAAAGAACAAGATGAACCAGCTCCCAAAGAGTTCTATATGAGCAACATATTCTTACATCATCTCTCATTACTAAGGGGGAAGAGCCTTAACTCAGGGAGTTCAGCTCTCTACCATCAGTGGGCATGCATCAGGACTTGCCTGCACCCTACCTTGGCCTGTCGATGGTTGACAGAGAGCTGTGTCAAGCAACTATTGCAGGCATTGACGCTTGCTTGATTGAGATTGCAAACTTGTCCTTCTCTCGAAAACCTCTGACTTATCCAGAGGAGTGTTCCGATGAGATCTTAGACACTATGCTGGCCGAAGTGGAGAATGATGAGGAGGAAAGGCTGCAGAACCTGCTTGAGGCTTGTTCCGACTTGGAAGAAGAATCTCGAGAGCCGGGGGCGGAAGTTGATGACCATGGTGGAGATGATGGTGATTCGAAAACCGGTCTTTCTCCAGCTTCTCCAGTCCGTAACTTGGAGCTCAACTCAGAGGAGTACATGGAGTGCCTTGTGGATGATCGCATGGCCGAGGCCGATGCTCAGATGATGGCTGATTCTGACGGAGACCTGTCAGATCGTATCAATGCCGGATTCAGGGCACTGGATCGATTTGACATGGGGCTGCGCCCTGTTGCCAAAAAAACTGCCAAGAAGCCAGCGAAGAAGCCTGCCGTGAAGCCTGCCGCGAAGCCTCGTGGCAGGCCTGCTTCCTCTTCCAAGTCATCTTCCAAGTCTCGGCGAGCTGCACCTGCCACTACGCCCAAGCATCGGGCTGCACCTGCCACTGCGCCAAAGTCTCGAGCGGAGAAGAGCCATGCGAAGAAGAACAAGAAGGTGAACCAGCCGAAACCCAAGAACAAGGCGAAGAAGGCGAAGAAGGATGAGAACGTGTTGGAAAAGAAACTGCACTCAGCATCTCGCTTGCATCGTGATTGCTCACTACTTCCCTTTCCTAAAGCGAATTCCTTTGAGCCTTTAGGTTTTCTTGACCCCTTTTTGATTTGTTTTGATGGGTGCAAGTCAAAATAGGAGGTCCGGAACAAGCTCCGGGACCACACCCGTTCCATACCCCCGTTCCATACCCCGTTCCATACCTCCTTGAAGGATCCGTTCCATACCTCTGTTCCATACCTCTGATTCATACGTTATGATATATATATATATATGTATGTATGTATGTATGTATGTATTTATATATATTTATTAAATATCTATCTATCTATCTATCTATCTATCTGAATATTGTGCAGTCTGATTTTACATTTGTACGCGCATACTTGAGCGCACATACATACATGAATGTTTACATGCAAGAATACGTTTACTATGCCCAAGCCCTGTAATTGTGTTGGCAAGTCTGTGCCTGCGGCCTTTGTTGTGTGATGGTGGGGATGTGCTTGGCTGTTGTCAGCTGGCAATCTAAGAATGGATTGCTTGTAACCCTCCCTCCCTCTCAACCTGTGGCAGGTTTGCGCCTGCACCACTTACAGTTGCTGCCGGCTGTGGCACAGCTGGCAGCCTAAGAATTGCTTGCTGCGCTACTCTCGCTCCAAACTGCAAATTTTGATAAAGATGTGCTGCATGGTGGCAGAGCTGTGCTGGAGTGGGCCCCGTTTCGTGCCAGACCCCGTTCCATACCGTTCCATACCCGTTCCAGGCCCGGACCACCCATGTACCATCCCTGACCCACTTCCGGGTGAACAAATGGCAGGTTCTCACATAGACTGCTCCTAAGCCATCCTTTGCGCGTTGGTTTTGGGAGCCTAGAGTCTTGCTACGCGGGGACACAATCTACCCCATAGGGACCGGGACCTCTGAGTTTTAAGAGTAGGAGGTGGGACCTGCGTGACAGGTCTGAAGCTGAGTGGACAGCTTCACATAGTAGCCAGTGGGTGAGGCTGGCTACCGGTTATGTCCTATCTAGTGCACGAGCACTAGCCATGCAAGGCAAACCTGCGTTGAACAGGTGTACAACAAGGATGCCGCGCAGATGAGAAGTGAAAATGAGCGGCAGCCAGCGGTAGTAGCTTCAACGTGCATATCCTTGAGATGTATATTATTTACATATATTATACATATATACAGAATACATATATATTTATATTTATGTACAGCTTCTATTTCATCACATTCTCAAAGTCAAGATCAGTTACGAAACCCCTTCGTTCCATACGTCCGGAACAGCGCGGAACGTTCCATACACAATTTTGACTCATTGCCTGTTTGATCCCGAGGTCTACTCCACCGCTTGGAAGTATGGGAAAAACACGGATGGCTTGACGGCGCGTCAGCACGCGTTGGCTGTCAGGAAGAAGCTACTTGGCAAAATTTAATGCGAGGGTTTACATCAGACTGGAACTAGCTGGAATCCGTTTTTTGACAGCTACACTCAACTTTAGATGTTCCACTTGAGAGTGCCTGGCATAACAAAGGTTCATCTTGGACCATGGACTTGAGAACGAAGCTTGTGCCCGAAAGTTTCTTTAGATCTCGGATATGATTTGAGATCCGTTGATGGCCTTTGTAATTCTTTGAGATTTTGAAACGAGGCCATGATGCAATGCCACCTGTGCATCCTAATCTTATGGCTATATGTAATTTGTGTGTGAACAAGAAGCTGCTGCGGGGAACAAGCGGCGACAAAAAAAACAGAGAGCGAGTGCCTGCAACACATGTGCTTCGATTCACAAGTCCAGGGCCCAGTTCCCAAATGGAAAAGCCCCAGATAGGGCTGGAATCTGTTTATCTTAATACAGACTCTGTATATCAGGACAATACATTTATATAACATGCCCCCCTCCAGGGATTTCATAGCAATGTCTCCAGCCATGGACTCAGTTTGACTCAGTGATCCCCCAGTGTTCATGAGAATATTACTGTGTTTATGCAAATATTATTAAATATTCATATATATATATATACATATATATAATCATATATATATATAACATATAAATATATGTATATGATATAATTATAATTGTACATATATATATATATATATATACGTATGACCAGTTGTATATGCAGACCTAATCCAGATACATGACAAATCCAATTCGTGTTCTAGATAGAACATATCTTATAATATATGTATAATATCTAAATAAATCTCTATCTTATATTATATATATAATTATATATATATATACGTATATACACATAGTATACACATGTTTAAAAAACAAAGTACATGTGGAGGTTTCCAAAAATGGTGGTACCCTAACAAAATCCATGGCATTTAAAACTTTCGGCTTGTCCATTGGTCAACCAGCTATTGGGGCACCCCAACATCATTCCCAGCTTCGAAGTAGCCAGCAAGGTCCAGGCCCCACACAGCACACAGTTCCAGGTAGGGATCAGCGAAGCTGGTGCCCACGGCGGCAGGTTCGTTCTCGTTGGTGTGGCCTCGGCGAGAACTTGTAGAATGCTCATGGGATAACAAATCTCTAAACTTACAATGATTATTATAGGGACACTGAAAAGTTGAACATTTTTGGGCAGAACTGGATGAATTATGAGAGATTTTTATGTTATACTCAAATAATAGACGTGGGATATTTACATATTTTCCTGGGATAAGAGAGAAATGAAATGGGGTCCTTCAAGAATGGTGGATTCAACCAACAACAAACCATGGTATCAAAGTAACCACATATTTACTATGATGGGAATAGAATGTTATGTGATGGGATATATATGAGCAAAAATACTTCACTATATCGAAGGGGTTGTCCCAAAAATTGGGGGGGATCCCGAAAATGATGAGCCAGATTTGGCTTTCTCCACCTGTCAAAAACCCATGATCTAAACTCGAAGCTGAAGAGATATGAAAGAGACAAGTTCGCCATGGTTGGTGTGCTTATGATGTTCACCCACCATCCGATGAGAAAAAGAAGTCTGAACCTCGGAGGATTTGGGGCATACTTCACAAACCACCATCATTTGGGAATATTTGGGGGGATTTCCTAAAATGGGCGGGCCCGAAAACCAGAGGACTCCGTATTGAAAATGACAACTTTTGCATGATCAGTCAGGTTCTCCCATAAAAAAAAACGCAGTTTTTGCCCTGGGTCGACAAATTTTGGAACAACCATGACTGGTTGACCCTGATTTTAAGGTGGCAGATTAAAATCTTCTTACAAGGCATCCACTACTATAATTATAGATAAGTTTCCCAGGTTTCCCAGTAATAAAACTGCAAATGAGTTGGTGATTTCCCATTTTGCCACGTTTGATGACACCAAAGGATCAAAAAGTCATCAACCAACAGGAGTTTCGCGGTTCCCGCCATCCGACACGCAGTTCCTCCGTTGCCCCGTTGCCTGGGCCAACACAAATGTCGTATCTGGACCACGTGCTCACGCCTTTCACGTAGCAAAAGCCGTCCTCAGGGAGATCGTCATCTTTTTGCAGGGGCGGTAATATGATGTTCCGTTGTTTATTGCGGAAGGAAACCTCACTGGATTGGTTTTCTTGGGAAAATCTTAACCGGAAAACCCATGGGTTTTACCATCAAATATAGGGCTTTCCGGTTAAAATTTTCCCATAATCCAATTCTATGAAAACCCAATTCAACATGACTAATATTATCTTGACATATCTTGACGAAAATATTGACTAATGGACTGACTAATATTGTTTAATAGATCTGAAAAAAACTGGTTTGCAATGTGGTTTTGCACCCAACTTGTGAACTGGTTTCTTCAATCAAGGAATGCAGAGCAACATCCTAGCACTGAGTATCTGGTTGTTGGGTTGTTGGAAGGTCATGTCGGCTTCCAAATCAAAACACAATCCTGCCTTTTGTTGCCAATGTCTACGCCTCCAGGTTTTTAGGCAGTCTGAAAACATGGTTGAAGACTTTCAAGTCGTTTTTCCACCCAACCACTTCCATTTCAGACATTTCTATATATCTGTGTGCACTTAATTAGTCTACATACTTTCCTTGTCTGAAAAACTTGTTACATCTTATCATCTTCTTGTGGGGGCATCAAACAACGCTCAGCCCACGCCAAAAATTGAGTTGGCATACAAGACCCTGATCCATCCAAGCAGTTTTCCATTCTGGTTTCAAACCATGAAATGATGGTTTCCTAAAAAAAGAGCTACCTCCAATTCATCCCAACATCAGTTGACGCTCAGAGAACACTCTCCCCATTTTGGGGGAAATAAATACAGTAGCCTGTCCAGATTCCCAATGATCAACCTGTTCCAATACCCAGGCCAGGTCTCCAGAATGAAAGCCACCGCATCTCTTCGTTCCTCTTCTTTGCTCGAAGCCAATTGTGCCAGGGTTTGTAGCGCCCGCGCCTGGAGCAAACTGAACAAACTGCGAGTTAGGAGAAATCTGATCGCAGCTGATGACAGGATGAGGACGGAGGATGGTCAAAATATATCAAAAAAAAGATAAACGACGCTGAATCAGACTTGATATATCCATATAATTTTATAGATTTTATGATAACCCATCGAACACCAACAATAAAATCCAGGCAAAACCTATATAGTTTGCAATCGTAACACTAATAATATCAATAGTTATGTGTTCCAAAAATGAAGATGGATGACGAAGGGGATGAACCTCGGACTTTGTCGACATATGTTGACATATACCCTGACAGTCTTGGGGTTGCAGGTTGGAAGACTACTGTTTTCTAACGAATGGTAATTCGCAGTTAAGCTTATATGATTCGCATCGAGCCACAGATTGGAAATGTTTAAAATTATTTTTTTTCATTTATTTTTCATTTGGGTTTTCATTTGTAACTTCATTTTTTTTCATTTTGTTTTTCAATCATTTTTTTGTTTTCATTTATTTTTCATTTTTTCATTTTTTTTCATTTATTTTTCGTTTTTTGTTTCTCCAAACTTCATTTTTTTTTCATTTCAAACATCATTTTTTTCATTTCAAACTTCATGTTTTTTTCATTTTAAACTTCATCTTTTTATCATTTTTTTTTTCATTTTCCTTTCCCGTGGCACCTGAAATCCAGGAAAACCATGAAAAACAATGAAAAACAATGGAAAACCATCAAAAACAAAGGAAAATGAAAAAAAAATGAAGTTGCAAATGAAAAAAAAAATGAAAATTTGGACTCAAAGTTGTAGATTCTCACTCCGAACCAGGAAATCTTCAAAAACTCGAGGAAATTTTCATTTTTTTTCATTTTTTTCATTTTTTTTATTTTTTTTCATTTTTTTATCATGTTTTTATCATGTTTTTTTCATTTTCCTTGCCCGTGGCACCTGAAATCCAGGAAAGCCATGAAAAACAATGAAAAACAATGGAAAACCATCAAAAAGAAAGGAAAATGAAAAAACAATGAAGTTGCAAATGAAAAAACAATGAAAATTTGGACTCAAAGTTGCAGATTCTCACTCAGAACCAGGAAATCTTCAAAAACTCGAGGATTTTTTTTTATTTTTTATTTTTTTTCATTTGTTTATCTTTTTTTTTTCATTTTCCTTTCCCGTGGCACCTGAAATCCAGGAAAGCCATGAAAAACCATCAAAAACAAAGGAACATGAAAAAAAAATGAAGTTGCAAATGAAACAAAAATGAAGTTGCAAATGGAAAAAAAATGAAGTTTGATGGCAAAAGGTGATGAACAAAAATGAAAAAAAATGAAGATAAAATGAACAAAAACGATAATGAAAATGATAATGAAAATGAAAATGAAAATGGAAATGAAAATGAAAATGAAAAAACATGAAAAAATAATAAGTTTTGATGGTCTCAGACTGTAGCAGTAAGAATCTTATAAAGTTAAACTGTTAGTTGAGGAGATGAACATGTTAAAATCAACTTTTGGATCAGTCAACCAGAGCAGTGGTTGTTTATGGTGTTGGTTTAACCCTTTGTGCAAACACCAAAACAAAAGAAAACAATGAAACATCTGAGCGATCCAGAAAAAGTCTAACTGTTTTTGGACAACTTCCAGGATCGGCTTGTACTTTCTACATATTGGTTGCCATTTTTAAAACATACAATAGGAATGGCATGGGGACATTGGACATCCCTGGGAGTACATATGTATATAAATATATAATTATATAATTATATATATATATCTAATTATATATGTATATAAGTATATAATTATATATGCAAGTAAATATATATATATACATACATACATATATATATAATTATATGTATACATATATATATATATATACATATGGGTTTCTAATGGTTTCTATATATATATACTATATATACATATTTATCAATACATATGGGTTTTAAGTGACCAAACTTGTGGGCTCTTCGGGACCGGAGCTGCACCAAGCGCAGTCAGTGAAACGCAGGGAACACAGGAACAACTCAGGTCATGAGACAGAAATGAACCATAGCAATGGAATATAGACATATACCCTCCAGTTGCTTGGTGGTTCCTAAGTTTCTATTATCCTCCAGTAAATTAACATAGACCCTGGCAGTCATTGGCAGTCATCGGGGTTGGAAGACTAGTTTCCATGAAAGGTGATTTTCAGGGTCCAACTATTAATTTACCAGGGGGTATATATATATACATACATAGAATAGAAATGGATATAGAATTTATATCACTAGTGATCAACTAATATCGCTCAATGGTTGCTCAAGCAGGCATCATGATTCAAAGATCATCAAAATGACAATGGGATATTGACTACGATCATAGAATAAAGGATAAACTGAATCATACTAGGATACTTTGTGTAGGAACGCCATCTTCAAATCAGGGACTTTCCAGCACACCTTGTTTCTTTTCCAAGGGTACCTTATCCAGACTTCATTCTGATAGCTATCAACCATTTCCTTTGGAAAAAGTAAGAGGAAAGCAGAGAAAACGACAGTGTCAACCATTTGTTTTGGACCCATATATGACCCATGTTTCATATGACTCATATGACCATGTTCTGGTCTCTGGCCACGTGGCAAAATAGCGACCCGAGTTGGACAAGGATTCCGCTTGGAGGTACGCCATCAGCATCCCCACGGATAAGGGGAAGTCTTTCTTCGATTCCTTAGGAAAAGTCGTCGCAACTGGTGATTCAGTTCTGAAAAACATAGCGAAAATGATGGGTTTCCGAAGTCATGGGGATACCCCAATTGACAATAGCTGGATGGTTTCATTATCATAGAAATATCCTATGAGAATCCCATGAAAATGGATGATTTAAATGATTTGGGGCCTACTTGCAAACACTCCCAAAAGTAAACCAACAGCCTCCGGTATTGGTGTGACAACTTTTAGGGTTTGTCTCCTTCGTGTACTCCAAAAATCTCCAAAATGGGTTTCTTCAAGAATCGGGTAGCCTTAACTTCATTTAATGTTCCCCATACACAAAACTCATCAAAACGGACTTGGCATGCTTCCAAAGCCAAATCAGTGAGTGTCCTGGCCTCAAAAACACATTTCAATCGTTTCAACAAGAATCTGTGGGAGCAGTCAACTGACCCTTTCGGGCGCTCTCAATAATCTTGTCATAGTTCTCTTCAGGCTTGGCCAAAGGACCTCAGGATCTCTGACTTTCGCGGTGTAGCTACGTAGACTCTGTGGCGGCGCAGCTGTGGTTTCTTAAATGGGAAATAAACATGTATGAACATGGTACCCTCTGGTAATTTAACCCAAACTATGGAAAATCACAATTTTTAATGGGAAAATCCACTATAAATGGCCATTTTCAAAAGCTATGTTAGTTTACCAGAGGGTAATAGAAACCCTGCATAGTGAATCTTGGTTTTTGCTTTGAACGAGACAGGCGCAACACTTAAATAATTTGCAGCAACCACCGAGCAGCTGGATAGCCGTAGCCATCCCAATAGGCCCATTTTTGGTTCATGGGATGGTGACTATGGCATTGGGTGAATCCCACACTCGATGTACATCGATGTAGAAGTTGTTCCTTCTGGATTTGAAAGTCATGATATTTATGTTAGGACTCTGATCCATGCTCCGAACGGTTCATACTGGTTCATCAAATTCTGGCAACCTACGAGTTCCCAACAATGCAAAGAAGAACAACATGAAGCAAAAAACCATTCCCGTGTCTTGGTGTGCTGTGTATAGTGGTAAATCAAAACGTGTCGGCCATCATGACCAGACATGACTATATATTGACTAGTTAAAGCTGGGAAATCCTGGTCCTCATTGGGATGCTAAAATTGCCACATTTCTGTATTGATTTTGGCACATACCCGCGCTCTTGTCTTGATGAGCTGCAATCTGGCGCATCTTTGCAGGTGTTGAGCAAAAATGCCACGAACTTGTCCTTTGCAAATGTGGCAGCGAGATCTGGAAATGTTCATTTCCTTGAAGCCGGTGTAGTTCACGCGATAGTTGGCATGCCATGGTTTTTTCAACCAATATTTCTGACTACGTCATGCCATCAACTCAAAATCATGTGGTATTGATGTGGTACGCAACTTGCACCCAAACAACACGCCTCTACATCAAGGGAATGCTGACTAGTCGTGTGTTTTTGGCTTCTGTCTACTGTGAGTTTGGGCAGGTTGACAAAAACTACAAGCAATGATGGAAAAAAACACATTGTTGGTACTAGTAAATTTATTTAGCTTTTATGAATGTGCTACCCCCAAATCTATAGCTCCAGCTTATGGAAAGTTCAATCTCATCTTTTGTGCTGTTTTTGAAACACACAACATCCCAACCAGACCACTTTCCTCAGAAAGTAATGCCCAGACCCCTGGTCCTGAGGTTAAGTGTCTGATGGTTAACTTAAATCCCAATGACTCAACCTTGAACCTCAATCTGTACTGTCAGTTTTATCACCATCTTCCCAACCAAAATCATATGTTTTCTTGGTTGAATCAATCCGGCATTTTGAGGTACCAAACCCAGTGCATCAACTCCAAAATCCGATGGTGCATCACCGTTTTATTGAACATACATTGACATACAGTATCACATAAAATGGTATAATGTTTGTTGAAATTTGCTCAAATAACCAACTGTTTGATGGTCCAACCCAATGTTTTATTGGTTGAACCACCAATTTGTGCGTGTTGTCATGTTTTGCTCATTTAAAATCCTATTTATCAATTGTTGTCCCATATTTTTAGTGCTAAAATATGCTAAAATCACAATGTTTATTGCCGCATTTTTTGTTGGGTTTTAGCTACTGAAATCCCATATTCATTGGATTGAGGGAAAATGTACAGGAAACCCCCAGTTTCCTTGGTGGCAACTACCAGCCAATTTCTGGTTAAGCATGTCCCAATCCATTGACATCCCCACAGTATCCATCAAATTTATATCCCTTACACATTCATGTTTAAATCAATCCAAATCCCATGTTAAACCCATGGTTCCCATATTTCTCATGGTACCCTCTGGTAAAGGTTTACCAAAAACTATGGAAAATCACCATGCTAATGGGAAAACTCACTATAAAAAACCATGTTCATGGTATTTCCCATATTTTTCATGGCATTTTCCCCGGTTTTCATCCCATCCCCGGCCCGTTTTCCTAACCCCGTTACGGGTTGAACGCCGCGGCTCGTTGGCGATGGCATCCCCTTCCGCCTGCGCGTCCTTCCGCGGCGAGGCCTCCATGTCGCCGTCCAGGACGATTCTGCCGGAGGTCTCCGAGAAGACCGAGGCGTAGACGCCACCCACGTAGGTGCCGTAGCTGTAACCTGTAGGATGGTATCAAGGTGGTGCCCCCGTTGGATAGCGTTCAGTTGGTGAACATAACTCCCATAACTATGGTTTATGGTACTTATAACTATAGTTAATGGGGTTTATAAACCAATTTGATGTAGGATGGTAGCTTTTACCAACAGAACTGTGGTTTTTAACCAACCATGGAGATTTAGCCAACAAAAATATGGAATGAACCAGGTGATTAAGCATGATTCAATGGATTGGTTTTGTTGGGAAAATCTGAACCGGAAACCATGGTTTTTACCATCAAATATAGAGCCTTTCCTGTAAATTTTCCCATCATCCAATTCTATGATGGTAGGAACGATAGGAACAATATGAAGATCAACAACATGTAGAGTGTTTTGGGGATGTAACATGTATCATGATTAGAGATTAACATCTATTGAATGATATAAAATATGTGTATATATATATATATATATACACATTATATATGTATACCAGTATGGATGTATATATCCATATACAAATTTATGTAGATAGATATGTATATATATATATATACATTGACATATACATATACTGGTATATATACATTACTGTATATATATATATATTGGTATGTATGTATGTACCAATATATATATATATGTCCATGTATATATAACATATCAATGTATATGATGTGTGTATATATATATGGATACAGATTTACAAGTTGAAATATATGTTTAAAAGTTTACCATGATCATAATGTCAATTACTATAACCGATATCATAATCATAACACCAATGATAGGGCTATAAAACAACAGCAACTGCAATCATGATAAACAAACATGATAACAAATAAATCTATAAAACTATAACCATGAATCACATTCACCTATCAATCACAACCACCTTTTCTTTGTCATATAACTATCATGGGCCACCACTTTTTTTTTGAGTGAAGATTCTGGTTCCCACATGTTCCCCCCAGTTTCACCAGGAATGGGCGGTATGAACCCTCTGCTTGTTCGCGAATGTAATCTATGGAACTGTGGGGACTTCTCCGCGTTCTTACAAGAAATATAGAATATTATATTGTGATCTGGTTGGTGGTTTTAACATGTTTTAACATGTTTTAACATGTTTTAACCCAGTCCAAAAATATGACGAACATTTCAACCAATCATCCCAAGTACGCTTGAACAGCAATAAATGATTGAAGTTTGTTGGTGAAATCCCATTCAAACCTCTCAAATAACGATAATAATAAAAAAACATTTTTTACTGGGGGTTTGAACACAAACACTCCAATAACTACCTCAAATAGTAACAATCCCATGCAATTCTCAAATCCCCTATAAATGGATTTTCAATGAACATGATTCTTTCAATCGGAATCATATGGAATCATCATTTCAAAAATCCGTTCAACAAATCCAAATCAAAATATCTCAAAGTGTTTGAAACCCCCCATAAATCCCCTATCAATTTGTTTGGGATCCAAATCAAAATCATCCCAAACAATTTGAATCGTCTGGAGCCCCTCGCTCCATCGGTTCACCATAGACGTTCAGCTTCTTTGCGCCAACCGCCTTTCGGAGCCGCTCCAGATCGTAGACCAGGAATTGAGTGCCGACCTCCACTGGTTTGAGGCTGAATTCACTGGCATGGTGACTGCTGCTGTAACCACTAAACATTGTGATTTAACCAAACAAAACATGTATATAATGTGGTTTTACCGCATGACATATATGTTGTGAACATCGAAAATTGGGTCTAGAGCATCACACATGAGGATTGAATCATTAGGCACTGGTCGTTGAACTCTCAAAAATGTGGACTTGTGATTTAACCATGACATATGGGGGTTGTGAACATCGAAAATTGGGTCTAAAGCATCACACATGAGGATTGAATCATTAGGCACTGGTCGTGACGAATGACTTGCTGGCCAATAGGAAAAAATGCCATCAGTAAGAAAAACTGAACAGTGACAACACTAGTGCATGATGAGAAATACTGCACAATGGACAATAATGATCATCAACAAGAACTACTTTTGGTGCAAAGTCAAGGCATAATCTAGGGATAAATAAAAACTAAGTGGGTATCAAAAGTATTGGCAATTGGGGTATCAAGGCAAACACAATTAGGATATCGCATGACTGCTTAAGGATTGAATACATAGAAAGTTAATCTGTGAGAAATAAAAATGACGTCGAGAAAAAACGTATTGAACCTGATTAAACATGACTGAACATTTGTAACATGGTTGGACATTGTTTAACATGAATTGAACCATTGTTTCAATAGGGGTCCCCAACCATCCTTGTTTTATTGGGGATTTCACCAAAGAAATGTTGGACACAACATGGATATGGCTAGTAAAAAGGTCAATTTACTGTTCTATTGTTTGCACTAAAAAGGGCAATGATATCATTGAGTTACACACTATGAATCATACACATAGTATCATACACTCTGCCGTTTACTATTGACACATATTGACACACTTATTGAGTCTTAGAGGTGTCAATTTGGTAAACGGCACACCGCTGGTTGGTGGCTGAGCCACCCATGTCTTGGATCATTTGGACAAAAAAATGAAGGCATGTGGTAAACCCCCAATAAACCATCCCGGAAATCATCATAAATGTGATGTATGTATATATATATATATATGTACACACAAAAAAACAACAACAACAACAACAACAACATCCCAATTGTAGGTTTATTGTTGGGTTTACCACATAAAACACACTTTCAAAGCGACAACAAGTTGACAGGGTTGAAGCATGGTTTGTTAAAGATGACTCAGCTTGACTCAGTAGGTCCAAACAGAGTTTGTAAGATAGGCTTCACCTGAGATATACGAGCTGGGACACTAAATCGACTGGCTTAACACGCCACTCATCACAAGTCTCGTGTCCCGGTGTTTAGTACGTTTAGTCTGAGGATACGCACGTAGTTCAAGAAATTGTAGCTCTTCCCCTTGTCATTCTTTAGCTGAAACTTCTCCGACGCCGCGCATCGCTTCCCCCATTCTTCTCTCTTTCGGAAGAGCTTCATCACCTGGCTCTCCTCGACGGATTCAATGATCAGCTGTAGTTAAAGGAATGCACACCATGTATATATATATGTGCCGTATATGCCATTCTCACGGTCTTTGGTGTTGACCCCCATTCAGTTGCAGATAAAATCTGAGATAATTCCTAGCTAGCCTTAGCATTGCCAAACTTAGATACCCTGGCAAAAAATCCGATTCTTAGCTCATTGGTAGATATTCTTATGAATTAGCAAAAGGTTAAAGGATAAACTACGTCACGCCGTGGTGTGGGGACTGTGTGTGGTGGACACAGTGATGATGCAATCTCATGCTATCTGCAGCTGATGGAGATCCTTCTCATGAACGCCATTTGCAGATTTTGCCCAGTTCTGTACACATCCTTTCAGGTATGTTTTTTTCATCCACAGTATTGTTCCGTCACCACAACCACAACCACTGAAACACCTTTTCTTTCAGCAGCGGGTTCACAACGTTATGACCTTCACATTTGGTTTTGAAGTTTCATTGCTTGGAACTTGGAACCTGCTTTTCAAGAGCTTAGCAACAAGAGTGTGTTACAACTTACTTGAACAAGTTAAAAGACGTTAAGAGCATAGCATTTTTCGAGCGCGCTACAAGTTACTTGTTACAAGTAACAAGTACCCTCTGGTAAACTAACATAGCTATTGAAAATGGCCATTTATAGTGGATTTTCCCATTAAAAATTGTCATTTCCCATAGCTATGTTAAATTACCAGATGGTACAGAGCGTAGCATTTTTCGAGCGTCGCATTGCTATAGCAGCTATTGCCCTCCCCACATCCCGATTCCACGAAGTCCCAAGACTCATTCGCCGGATCGATGTCTGCCTCGAGTCAAAACCCATCGGATGGCAGTGTCAAAAGATGGTAGATATGGTATGGTAATCACAGAAATCATTAGGGGATTTTTCATATGTATATATATATATATTTATATGTGGTGTATAAATATGTGTATATATATATATGCAATCACAACTGGTACATAATCATGGTTGCATCCCCCAGATCGAAATATTCGAACCGGCCCAGCTAGTTGGATGTTCATCCAGGTGCCTTTGCTTTTGGAGATATGTGATATCTATGTGTATATAGATATATGCATGTATTTAATACATGAAATGCAACTGTTTTGTTAGTTAATGTCAATTGTGTGTATATATAGTGTGTATATATAGTGTGTGTGTATATATGTATATATATATATGTATACAAACATAATCAGTATTTAAATACTATATATATATATTATATCATATACAATCAAACAGCCACAGATCCCATGAATCACGCATCAACAACCAACTGCCAAGGCACCCAAATTTCCCCTAACTGCGGGGTGCCATCCAACAAGGCGCAAGGACAGTCTGTGAAGTCACTTACCTCCAGGGATGACTGTGGATCAAAATGGCAGCGGTTCATGAAATATCATTGATCCACATTATGCATATGTGTATATACATATACGTATATATATATATACATATATTGTTACATATAGTATGTTGTATATATACATATATGTATATATGTATATATATATATATATGTTGTAGCAGTATAACTATAGTATAATAATAACATATATATATATACATATACATATATATATACATATAACTCTATACAACATATGTTCGCATAATTATGTATTGATATATTCACATTACATCACATTACTCCATCATATTTCATCATTCATATCAATCTGGATAAATGAGATCATACTTCACCAACCTAAGGACCTGAACAGTTCAGCCATCTTGGGATAGTTACCCTAATCCCTCCTTACTTTCCTACTGACGATGCCACGTGATGTCGCTAGAATTTATCCAGAGGGTAAGATCCAACAATGCCAGGGTTCCCCCTAAAACTTGAAGTGTTGTAAAGCGGAACTTTTTTCGCTGGAGTTGGACAATGACTTTCCAACAAGATGCGCAATCATGACACTGCAATATCTGCATTGAACTGGTATGCCCTCAACATATCATCCTTCTGTACCTGAAAAACATAGGCTTTCTATACCCATCAAAAAACAAAACGGGCGCACATCATGACCACAAGCCATGGCAGCGTCAGAGAGATTTTCCGACATCTTCCGGGGGACAATTCACAAAGAGGAATACATGCTGATTCTGCGATTCCAGACGCCCCAATGCTTCAGAAGTTCATTCTCAGAAGCAACTTTTCATGATGGTCTTGGTCAGCTAAATCAACATTTTTTTCTGGGTTTTAACAAAAATCTGCGAATCACCAAACCCAGAATTTCCTGATCCAAGACTGATTCACCAAAAAAAAAAGATGTCATTGATGTTCATGGTAAATCACCATTCTTAGTCTCCATTATGAGGAATCCACATTAATATCTGACATCTCCCTATAAATCCATATAAATAGCCTCTGGTAAACTAGCATGACTAAGGAAAATCATCCCATTTTCAATAGGCAAATCTATAAATGACCATGGTCATGTTCTCAAACTCTTAGTTTCGCCAAAAAAATCCATGGCCTGGCAGCCGGTGCTGGGACAAGTCTCCGGCAGCTTGGAATTGGCACAGTTTAAGGCGGGCTCTGCGGAGCCCATGCCACGTTGGGTGATGGAAAAGACATCGTAGCCCTGGAGCTCCGCCGGTGGTGCAACAAACCGTGGCTTAAACGGGGAGCGTTTTGGAAATGGCCCAGGAAAAAATGGAGGGTTTTTTTGTTTTGGGGGGGAAAATCATCCAACGCAATGGTGGGTTTATGGTCACACCACGTAAAAAGAAGAAGACTCCGGAGGCTGTCATTGATTCATTGATGATGTGTTTTGTACAGACTTAGCACTGCCAGGCGACCCAAAGTATGGGGTCACATCAATCTCATCAAACATGTCATCATAATCTTTAACCATCCCACGGACAGGCAGAAAAAAGATCCATCCATTTTGGTTCAACTCCAACTGCATCCATGTTTGTAGTTTCACTATATTTTAAGCCTTCCCTGTGAAGGTTTAACTGATTTTCCCACAATCATCACTATCCAATATTTGAATACTATATACAAAGTAAACATTATATGATATATATATATATATACATAATATATATATATATAATATATACAATATATATATAATATACAATATATATATACAATATATATAGTATATACATAATATATAATATAATATAATATAATATAATTATAATTATAATATAATATAATATAATATAATATGATATGATATAATATAATATAATATGATATGATATGATATAATATGATATGATATGATATAATATAATATAATATGATATAATATAATATAAAAGTATATATATATATATATGCAACCTTTTTGATCCCCGCACCTGCAGGTGTCTGCCATACATATAGCGCACACAGTTAGAGCCCGAGCCGGGTCCACCACAGTGGATCAACATGAGACCTTTGGGCGCCGGCTGCGTCTCTGCGAAGCGCATCGTCACCGGCAGCTCCAACATGGGACTGTCGGGGTCAAAAACATCCTGGGAACTGGGACGGCTGGGGCGCTGAAGTGGGGAATGCTGAAAAACCGAGTTCTTTATATAAAATAACTGGGAAGTAACTGGGGATATGTGGAATTTCGAAAGTTTTATATAGTTCATAGATAATAAGATACTCAGAGATGGAAATATTGAATTTCTCCAGTTCTATATGGATTATAAACCACTAGATCAAGGTCCTAGCCTGATTATAAAAGAACATGACTGGGCGGATTGATGCAATCATTCCATTCCACACATGAAATTGTTGGGTGATTATGATGCATTTATGGTGAGGATCGTGTGAGCTCGCTTTAGTTTATCCGGAATCACCGGCTTGTCGCTTGTCTTTTTGCAACTGAATAGCTTTGGTCATCTCCCACTAAGAGTCGGCAGGAGGGTCATTACATCTTAGGAACGGACTGAATATCCACCTTCAGTATCAACGTCATCGTGGCCGAATAACCCAAAGTCTAGTCCCGTGTCATCTTGAAGGAGGTGCGCTCCAAACATGGAATAGAATTGATTCAGCAGAATACTGCGTAGAATCCAAAACCCATTCTGGTCAAAGAAATATATTCTTCTTTGGATGTGTACAATATCAAATATAATTTATCAAGCAAACTAACTTCACATGTTATACCGTTTTATTCCATTTTATATCAAATTTCTAAAGAACCAACAAGTCCTTTCGTGTCAGGTCTCTGAGCACTATTGCTCCTATTCCATAGAGATTTGCAGCTTGAAACCTGATCCTCCCCAGTGACAGCTGGTGACAGTTATCCCCCGGTTACGTTTAGCGCTCAGAAAGTCGGCAACGGCTCAAGCAGAGGATCCAAAGGTACTGAAAGCACACCTGGCCATCACCGTCCCCAATTCACATCAATTTTGACCAATGGTGACCAGGTGTAGTAAAACCCCCAACAGTTACCATCTGGTTATTTAACATAGCCATGGAAAATCACCATTTTTAATAGGCACACCATCTATAAATGGGCCATCTATACCATGGCTATGTTAGTCATAACCAGAGGGTACTGCAATAGGGGATTGAGTAACTACACTTAAGTTCTTTGAGTGTGACAAGTTCGTCCCCCACCGTAGAATGGGATGAAAACATCTTCCGCGTTTTTTTTTGTCCAGGACTTTGAGGCAGGCTCAGCCAATTTCCCAAAACACCCAGACATTCGCACCATTGATTACAACCATCATCAATCATCTATGTTTACTGTAAAAAAATATAATATATATATATGTATACGATGGTATACGTATACTATATGCATGACATATTAGATCATGTTAAATTGTATCTGTATTCAAGCAAACAAATGAACTCCATATCAACTAACATCAGACCAGGACGTATCCACCATCCCAATCCATACCATCATTTCTACATTTCTGGCGTCAATGCAAATGTTTGAAAGTCAAACCGCATGTGGAATTAACAATCAAACAGGTTTGGAACCTATATCAAAATCCAACAATCCATCAAAAAACCATCCAAATCCACTTTTTCATATCAGTGATGTCAATTTCAGAAATTCGCCAGGACACCGTTGGAGACATGTCCAGGAGAGGCCGCATCCCAAGTCAGCACACTTGGATCGGGCGCCATCACAGACCATTGGGACGTCCTGGTGGAGTTTCTAACCATGGAGGTACCCCAAAATCTGCAAGTTCGAAACGCACAAATCAATGGGACAAGCAATGGTTTGTTTGAGCCAAAAATCGAAACAAAACACATAGTGACACCCGTTTTTTTACCATCATGTTCGAACATGCCCAACTATCGAAAAATACCAACCGGTGAATTGACATGAATTGACGATATGACATGAAATGTAGATATATGCAGTGATAATTGCAGTGATATACACAGGTGGCCAAAAGCCCAGCAAGTACCTGTGGATTGTATTCACAGACCTTGGGACCTTGGGATAGCTGAGTTCCTACATGGTTTGATTGGTATTGTGCATGTTGGAACGTGATTGGGCTTGTCCAAAATTTGGGCACAGCCTATAAGGCCTATAAAATGGCAAAGCTAAATTGCAGAATGATGATAAATCATGTATGGTAACGGTAGCTATTTCAAACCTTTACCAAGCCATTTCAACACCCTAGGACTCCTAGGACTCATCAACTTGAAATGGGATCCGGGATATCTGAAGATACCTGAAGCGTGTGATCAGTACTTGGGTTATCTTGGGTTTATATTAGCATATTCGTGAAATTCTTTGAGGGACACAAGCAATCTTACAGAGAATATGCACGATGGATTGATAGATTCCCAATGTTTAGAGGATTTGCCAAAGGATAAAAACACGCATAAAATCATAACCCTAAACACAGCCAGCTATTCCGGCTATGAGACGTTACACAGATATGGAATCAAAGCTATCCTGTCATCCAGGACAACCTGCCGTAGCATATAAAGATGTACATGCAAAATCGTCATACACCAAGACGCAAATATGATTAAAAATATACATGATGATATATGAAGACATATAGCTTACGGTAATTATAGTGCTATATACACATAAAACATTCCCTATGATTTCCGATGTATCATATCTGATATCTGAATAGAATCCTAGAATGCTCTACAATGTATCAATATCATTCAATATCTCAGTAATTCAGTACCTCTGTGTGTTATAAACATCAACAGTGACAGTCCACATCTTGCTGTCCTGTGGCTAAAGCGTTGCAGCAAATGCATAAAGTCTCTCTCTGTCTCGCCATCGGCCGCAATCGGCTCACATGCATCGCATGCATCGCATGCATCGCATGCCACCAGCGATAGCCCTACAGCAAAAGAAAGACGGCGCAACGAAGCGAAACGCCACATACGCGACATAGCAAAGTCAAAAGTTGTGACATGGATGGGAGTTTCTCAATTGGCTAGGTCGAATGGTCTGGAAACAAATTGTCTTTCATTTTGACATTCGAATCAGGATGGAATCAGGGGCAAAACTCAGTGTATAGCAGCCAGTACTCGACATTGGTATCACCCCTTTTCTCTTGTGACGCCTACGGGACTCCCTTGCGGCACATGTCTGTCATGGGACCCTTGGAGTTGTCACCGGTTCGGTGGACCAACTTGGGCCATCGGCGAAAGCGATTCTTCGAACTGTTGCATCTGTTCCAAATCGATGAATTGAGTGGAATCTGAAAACCATACAGTTTGCCAACAAAGAATTCATCAGTGTCCTATGGTGTCCTGCAAATTCATCTTAAATTGTCACTTAAATCAATCAATTCTCAAAAAGTACAAGAAATATCAAGAAATCCCAGCCCCTCGTCCGGAACTGAAATCCATGGAAGCCTTGCTGATTGTGTTCCCAAGCACCCCCGGAACTGGGACTGTGGCATAGTTCAAGTAGTCCTGAGCAAGGGATGCAACACCATGGCCCCGATGGCAAACAGAATGATGAACAATGATGAAACATGTCTGGGTAAATTAAAATATTTCAATAACCTGAATCTTGCGGCCATTTGGGGATGATTTCCCTTACTAACCATGATTTCCAGGGTTAGGTCGCAGTGAGGTCGTTATAATTTACCCAGCCATGTGTACGACTGTGGCAGGGCTCCATTCTTGTCTCCACAAGGCTCCACAAGTCAGTCTTGCCGCAAGTCTCCTAGTTAGTTCTTTCAAAGTTGCAGCATAACATGGGCAACCTTAGATACTCAAAATATAAAGAGTTGGTTTGTATATATCCGAATGAAAATGCTAAGATACTTCAGTAATCCCATCCTCGAAAAAAAAACTACGTAAATACCCCTATGTGGGCCAATTATTAAATGAATAGATTCAAAATGGCTTCATTGGGGCGTATTTGATATTGAGATTGTGAATTACACGAAAACTACCAAGGCTTACCCAGGATGGAGCAGAATAGCATGCAGCATGGCACGATGCTGTATCAAAATGCCTGCGTCTTCAAACCGTGGACCTTTTGGTCTGTCAAAACCAAATGGGTTGTTTTTTTGCTCGGTTTTTCAATATGTGTCTTTCCCTCAAATTGAACCAATGCTTTGGGTTTGTCAAACAGACTAGGAAAACCCCTAAATCCAGTGACTCATAATTGTCCACATAAAAGTGCCACAAAATAAGGAATATATATCAAACCGACCCCATGAATATGCCTAGAATCAGAGCCCATCACATGGTTGATCTTGAATTCCCTCCTACTTTCACAGTATATGTCCAAGTAAGAGGAACAATCCAAACGAAAAAAAGCTCTCTAGATATCTCATGATATCTCTAGATTCGAGATTCTCCACATAGATTCACTTTCCCATTGGGAAATTCTTCATCTTCACGGCCCACAGCTGCCTGCTGTTTGCCCGGCTTTCGCCTCAGAGTTTCTGATGAAACACACAGAAAATCGCACGACATGAAAAATGAAAACCAACAACAAAGGGGGAGAACTATGCACAGTATTTATTGCGAGGCTACGTTATGTACCTACCTACCTACCTGCCTGCCTGCCTGCCTGCCTATCTACCTATCGATAGAGTCATCTTTCGATCCCTTCATCCAACCAGCCAACCAACCAACCATCTATGTCTGTGTATCTATCTCTCTATATATCTACCTATTTATTATCTATATCTGTGTGTATACACATCAAATGATATCGTATGCATATGTATGCTCAATTTTGTGCAAATGGTTCTTTCTGCAGGACATACATGTTTTTTCACTGCAATGCAAATTCACGTTATTTTCTTCACACAATACATGGTTACACATGTTTTTTGTGTGTGCTCCCTTTAACAGGGCAGCAAAACAACACGTCAAGCGAAGTATGTGAGGGATGTCAGGCGAAAAGAGTTGCTCGTTGCTCGGCCAGATGTTCAGCCTGTATTTGAGAAATGACACTTTTTACTTTTTACTATCAGCCGCAAAGCTGCAGTTTCCTCTTTCGGGCCGCTTCCCCCATTCCCAACCATCTATGTGCGATTGCTCCTGTGGGTCAGTGAGGTTGATGCTTCAAACCCGAGGCACTGCAGGGAGTACTCGAAATCCCTTCGCCGGCGGACAATGTGCCTGCCACTTAAAAAACGCTTGCCCCCCGCTGCGGAATGGGAGTGTCATGGCTAGTCTTAGATACATTTGACAGTATAGTAAGTATAGAACTATATTTACTGTAAGTACGGTTTCAACATCATCAACTATACCATTTGACTATACAATAAATCTGAGCTAGTCTTTATTGTATGGTTTGTTGTTCTCCATTATTTAACGTAGGGTTTCCATAGTCATGGGGCTACCCCATTTTAGAAAAACCAGGTCATCGTGTCGTCACCGAGGGGTGACGAAACCAAAAGAACCAACTGGGATCTCATAGGCACAACCGTGCCGTAACGTTGTTTCCATTCCTATATATATATATTTACAATACACACATCTATACATAACATATATATATATGTATATGTATACACATATTATATATATATACATAATATATAGTGTATATTTATATATATATATATATATTATACATATATAAAAATATTAATTAAAATCATGTCAAATCATGTCAAATCATGTCAAATAACTATTCATGACCAACAAACAATGATACAGAAAGACTTGGGTCGTGGGCCAAGTCATACCGTTTTCATGTGACCATTGCTGTGACCATTGCTGAGTACATAGGAACCATTGCAGTCTGGGGCTAGCAGGGACGTCAAGGCATAGTATCATTTCCATAGAATGTTACAGAAATCAGCGGAGTAAACTGAAAATCATGGCATAGTATAATTTCCATATCATTTCCATAGTCAGTTTCAAGGCATAGTATAATTTCCATAGTAAACTCATGTAAACTGACTGGTAATTAGTCGAAATAAAAATCAGCGGAGATTTCACCATCTCCTTTTTTATCGACTATTTAAGGGGATATTTAGGGATCACATATATATCATGCCAAACATACGGTTAGACCATGTTAGACCCCATGTCACAAACCCAAACAACTATCCTTGGGTTTACCGGCAATGTCCGACATGCCACTGGACATCTGAACATTTCACCGGTGGAACCACCGGGTACCTCTAGCTGCCACGCCTGATTTCGTCCTCAGAAAAGATGCTCTTCCGTCGAAGATCATCCAATTCAGGCACCATGTCCTCCGTCGAAGCTCTGATGATCCAAATCGTTTAAATTTGTGATTTGACCCGGCGAACATCACCAGTTTTTTTTGGTGATTGTCCCATATTTTTATTGTCCCATGGTACCAGGGTCGTCCTACTCAACTTTTGGTATCATTGGTCTATGTGTATATTATGTTTATTGTACTCTTATTATCATTATTAGATTGTTGTATAATACGGATATATATGATATATATATAATATGTATATGTATGTGTGTAATACAGAATTACTAATATGTATGCATATACATGCTACCGTCTAAAATATCGGTATGTTATGTACATGTCAATCAACAAATGATATAACGAAACATGACATAGACCATGAAATACCTCACTTCAAGTTGCGAGACCTGCTCACACACTATTAGCAACTATAGATGCGTTTGGGAAGCAGCACAATGGGGGTTTCCAACATTGCCGCAATGATTGACCCTTTCAAATCTCACATGAGCGGTTTGACCTGAACAAGCTCTGGTCATCGAACATGAAAACAGTTCATGTGGAGAGAAATGTACCGCTTAAAAAACGATGCGTTCCCCTTGCCGTGTTCGATCACTAGAGGGCAAAAGCATGTGAAAGCAGGTCTGAAACCCTTCTGGGAGGTGCAAGAAACATCGGAGAGACATACGATATATGTTAATAACATTCATATTCTATCAACAGGATGTCTGGATGACACGACAATATCTACAATCTATGTATCAGATGTTCTGCTTCAGCTTTTGCCAACTCAAACAGCTCAATAAGAACTGTACCCTCTCGTAATTGTCACATGTCATGTCTATGAAATATGGCCCGTTGAGCTGGTTTCTTCGGCCATCAAATTAGTATTAAGCATTATTGATGGGGGACCAGTCAAGCATTCAAGTCCATTTGTGCGCGGGATAAACATGGCTATTCTATTCTTTGATACTCTGCACAAAAATCCTGGCAACAATGCCATGTTTAGCTGGATAGCATGCAGTTCCACATCTGTCTGCAAGAGTTCATCAATAAAGAGTTCCCTGCCCCTATCAAGGTGGCTAGACAAAACTATTCAACATCTACCATTGAGCAAACTGCAAACTTTACCTCCATGGTTCATGGTCCACTCCCCACAACTTGTTGCTTGAAGCCCAAGTTTTGATGAATCCAATATAATATGGCTTTGTTCAAGCATAGTCTAAGACTACTCCCCACAGGTGACTCATCGCCATTGCTTCCCACAGCAACTCCTGCATGTATTGTTCCACAGTGTCCGCCATGGCAAAACGCGTCGCTGGTGTCTCGTCCGAGATAGTCCGAGGTTGGCAAGTGAGGTCTGGGATTTGTCCTTTTTTTGGGACCTCCAACAAGATTAAAGAACTCATGCTTCTTAAGCCATTATGGAGATGGTTTAGTTGCAACCCTAGTTGCAAACTCAGAAACACTGCATTTCAGTTGCTGGGTGTTGGTGCAGCATAAGCATCTCTGAGATGGAAAGCACTGGATCAACCTATCCATTTGAAAAGCAGGGAACATCCCAGTTTTTACGGTGCCCCTGTCTTTTCCTCCAACCGATTCTGGGATTGGTGATTTCCACCCACGTTTTTTGGTCAATTCGGGCTAAACACCCTACCTTTTTGGGGATCGAACGTTGGGCTATTTGAAGCCGCCAGTATTCACAAATCACATGATGTAAGGTGACCCGAAACATTTCAATAGA